ACATAAAAATGAACGGCTGGCAGGAAAGTTGACATTTTAAACCTTAATAAAAAAATCGATACAGGGCTTAAGAATATCGATACAGTATCGGGAAATGAAATATCGCGATATTTCAGTGTATCGATATTTTCTTACACCCCTAGTGCTCTTGAGGACTGTTGGACAATGCCGCAACTATTTTCTTCAAAATTCTAATGAAAGGACGAGGAGGATTTGAGAACCAGTCCAACATTTCAAGATAACTTGGGAGTCTTCAGCATCAATCTGTTTGCTAATCGCCAACAGGCCCGGTCCAGTCCCGTACTACCTCACAAGACCTACGTAAAGCAGGTCATCAAACAACTCAACTTCAGAATGTCATAGTAATTTATACAGCTGATTTTATCGAAACATCTAGATCACTGTCAGTTTTATGTTAGTTAATTTGAAACTATGAAACAAACTTTGCTGCAGCTTTTTGTGCTGACAAGTAATAGAAGATGTAAATAACTGTAATGCTAAAATGACAGCATGAAATGGCGCTCACCACCAACAAAACTATTTTCACAGAACTTTCAAAARAAGAACAATTAATTTCTTCTCACTATTTTTGTTTCCCTATCACATGCTAAAGGCACGCAGACAGGTACTGTAGATAGATGTTTTTAACTGAATCGTTTTGAAGAAGTAGCGAATCATCGTTTCAATGAGCTCTAATGAGACCAACTATCCACATCCAAAGATGTGATGGAAATAAAACACATAACAAAGGCAAAAACAGACAGAAATAAAAGTTTTCAATTCTTTTAAATCTCAATATATTTCAAACAACTCTTTAGTCTTTTTCTGTGTTTTATTGTAAAAATGGGTATGACCTGTGGCTTTTAGGATACAGACTGAAAGTTCATTTAAAAAATGATTCACATATGTTCATATCCCAACACAGAACTTTCCTTCTGGGTTGTGGAAACTTGGAAATCTTGGGAGGCTACCTTATAAGATTTATTGATTTGCTCCTAATAGTTTTGTGTGCAGCATTTAGAGAAACGTTTTACAGCTATGTGGACACGTGTTCAGAGGTAATATTGTCATCAGATAAAGGCCCAACATTCCTTTGAGGAATCACTCCCTGCCTTTCATGTGAGAGTTTTAGATCTCATGTTGATCTGTTTTGGTCAAACCTTACAAATAACCAGTGGYGGGCAGCACTAATATAAAAAGTAGTTCCACTAGCCCTAAAACACTACTCAAATATTTAGGTCCCCTAATTGTAAAGCACAAATGCACTGGAAAATTTAGCAAAAGCTAATTCTAAAGCATTAAAATAACACAGTCAACTCATGAACATTCTTCAACAGACAACATGAGTCACATGTTGTCATGTTGCTCTCTGAAGACTTATTGACATTCCACAGCCATATTTGGGTTCATATATTGTCACGTAGTGAACAATTGACACATATGAACAAAATGTGTGACAGCTTTCACCCTCAGCTGTTAACATTAACGTTGATCAATAACATTTATAGACCTCAGTTGGTGCTTCTAAATTTAGCCTATAAATTTAGCAAGTGCTAATCCACTAATAAATTTTAAAGTTAGCAAAATCCCTAAAGCACTAATCAGAAAATTAGTTCCCCCATTAGTGCTTTAGGGGAACTGTGCCCTCCACTGTAAATAACACTGTGCACAATGTAACCCTCAGAATATGTTGTGAATGACTCATAGCTGCACATTACTTTAGCTCAGCATCAATCTGATGTACTGATTTGCTTTGTTAATTAGATGCAGTAGAAACTTTGATGTGGACAGACGCCATAATTCATCAGTTGATGTACATCCAGTGATTATTTTCTGAGTTTTATTAAAATCTCTGAAGTGGTTCATGGGATATTTTGATAACAGAGGCTGACATGGTCAAAGACTTTGTGGCCTTTTGGCTGCAGGCGGGGGCACC